AGGTGGCTTCTTTTTCACTCCAAGAATCTAAGGGAACATTACTACGTTCTGGGGAGTCCCCTGCTTAACCTCTCCCCCGTCTCTTGTATCTCAGTCCCACTGTCACTCCTTAGTTTGCAGCCTCATCAGGTCATCTGTTTGCTGGTGAGAGACGAAATTATAATAGTCCCCCATTATCCTCAGGGGTCCTTCCAAGACTCCAGGTGGATGTCTGAAACCACAGGCGATATTGAACCCCCCCACACATACACAAACTTTTTCCCTATACCTATATACCTCTGATAAAGTTTAACTTATAAATTAGATATAGTAAGAGATTATTAATAATTGATAATGAAATAGAACAGTTATAACAGTACCTGATAATAAAAGCTGTCTGTGTGGTAGTTAAGGTGCTAGACTCCCACGTGGCTGAGCACAATTCAGATTCTGAACCTGACAGCTTGAAAATCATGCCAAGCATGTGTGTGTGAATGCCCACATTCTTAAGAGGAGAATAGAAAAGGAGTGATTATGGTGCGGCCATCCTCCCTGGAGGCTCATTTCTCACTTTCCTTCTCTCTGCCTCTGTCTCTTCTCTCTCCAATGAGTGCATATGCCCTTGGCAAAAACACACACACACACACACACACACACTTGGCGCACACACACACACACAAACAAAAAACCAAAACTTAAAAAACAAACAGAAAAGCTATGTTGGGACCAGTAGATGGTTTAATGATTGTGTTGCTAGATTCCCACATAGTTGACTGCAGTTTGAATTCCAGACCTGATGGCTTAAAACTCACACCAGGCACATGTACACGCATGCCTAGGATCCCAAGAGGAGAGTGAAGGAGAAGGGATTGCGGCCTGGCCATCCCCGCTAGGGGGTGATAGCTCGCTTTCTATCTCTCTGTCTGTCTCTCTTTCTTTGGTGAGCGCACATGCCCTATAGCAAAAATCTCTCTTAAAAAAAAAAAAAAAAAGCTGTGTGAATATGTTATCTTTCTTTCCCTGTCTGAAATATCAGACTGTGGTTGACCTCAGGTAATAAACTGAGGAAAGCAAAACTGTGGATAAGGGGGGACTGCTATCCCTACTAAGAGGTCTCTCTGCCCCTACTCTTAGATATTCCTGTCATGTTGCAGCCAGTATGATTACTCAAAAATGCAAATTTAGTTAAATAAATCTCCATTTTTGATGTATATGTATTTCAGTTGGAAATTTATGTATGCAATCCATTTTGCCTGGAATATTTTGTCATGTTCCTTCCAGTCTTCCTACTGCTACCCCAGGTGTGTTCAGTGAGGCAGATGTGTGAGCAAAGTGGCTCGTCTTCTGAGCCTGCCTCTAACCCATTCTGTGCCTTCGGCCTGGATTGCCTTTGCTTTCTTTTGTCCTTTCACCCTGCTCATCTATACGTTCTGAAAAGTCTTCCCTAAACTTTCCCCCTAGAGCTAAATCCTTTCTGCATACTGTTCCTGTAGTGCCTTGATTAATCTCTCTTGTATTTGCTGCTTGTCTGCAAGAAATTTGCATGTGTCCATCTCCCCAGTTAAACCGTGACCACACCCTTATCCTTAGTCCTTTTCACAGCATCTGGACCTAGAGTAGGTGCTTAATAACTGTGAGTCTCTGCCTCTTCAAGTGTAAAACAGGCATGAGTGACTTTCCTGAGGCTGTCTCACTAGAGAGCCATAGAGTAGAAATTGTTGCTAAGTTCTATCATCCCTACCCTCAAAATGTGTTGTATTTGAAGATCAGTTGTGGAGCTACACAGAGTAGGTGTTGGAAATGTGATTTGTGTAGATAGACTATCTCTTTCCTTTTTTTTTTTTTGGAGAGATTTTTGCTATGGGGCATATGTGCTCTCCGGAGAGACAGAGACTTTCATAAAGCAAGAAAAATCATCCCCCTCCTCCCAGGGGGATAGCCATACAGCAATCTCTTCTACTCCATTCTCCTCTTGGGATTTTGGACACGCATGCACCAGATCTGGGACTTGAACCACGGTCACTTATGTGGGAGCCCAGCGACGTAACCATTACTCCACCTGCTGTTCCCTCTCTTTCCTTTTTCTAGCAGTTTTACAAGTCTGTTCTCTCTCTCTCTCCTCCTCAAGGTCTATGGCTGGGGTTACAATGGAAACGGTCAGCTGGGCTTGGGAAACAATGGCAACCAGCTGACCCCGGTGAGAGTGGCCGCTTTACACAGCGTGTGTGTGAACCAGGTATGTGCGGTGACTTTTTTTTTTTTGAGAGGTTCCTGCTATAGGGCATGTGCGCTCGCCGGACAGACAGAGACCGAGAGACAGAAAGCGAGAAATCACCCCTCAGGGGGGATGGCCACACCACAATCCCTTCTCCTCCATTCTCCTCTCGGGAATCTGGGCACGCACGCACACGCACCCGGCGTGAGTTTAAGCCACCAGGTCCAGGACGCAAACCACAGTCGACTACGTGAGAGTCCAGCGACATAGCCATTACGCTAACTGCTGATCCCATGCAGTGACTTCTTAGCTGGCTAGTCCCTGTTCTCCCCTCTGACTTGGAGAAATCTGGAAGATTTTCTCTATGATCACTTTTCTTGGCAACGACCTGTGCCTTCATCTTCCACATATAATATTACCCCTTCCCTAAATTCCCATGGGGAGAAGGAAGATGACGGTGCTGGCACATCAATCTTGATGCGTTAAAAGGAACACTAATGGAAAAATCCAGAGGTCGAAGGTTTAGGCTTTTCTAATGCTTTTTTAATGTTCCAGCAAATGTCAGTCCACACCTGATGATGAATTGGCATTCTGCAGAAGCGGCTGTAATCTTTAAGTAGATATTTTCCCCACCCTTCCTGTTTTCCTGTTAATGGTAACCATGTAAATTTACTTGCAGATTGTCTGCGGCTATGCACATACTCTAGCACTAACAGATGAGGGCTTGCTCTATGCCTGGGGAGCTAACACATATGGGCAGCTGGGAACTGGCAATAAAAATAACCTGCTAAGCCCAGCACACATCATGGTGGAGAAAGAAAGGTAATGGGGGTTTGCTGGGTCTGGGGACCTTGCGTGTGTGGTGGCCTTGGGTCTGTGTGTGGCAGAGCTGTGGTGTTTGGCTTCGTGATTCTTCTGTTTATTAACCTTCTCATTTAGAACATAAGAGTTTTGAGTACCAGCTAGAATGAAATAGAGCTGCTATGATTCTTATGTAGCTTTCAGAAATAAACCCCCTGTGATCGTTTATGCATCTTGATGATTCCTACAGGTGTCTTATGCCCATTTAGGGGGGTAGTCAAACAGGGTCTGCGACCATGTTACAACTTTTATAGACTAAACTTTTCTTTTGAGCCAACCAAAGTAGATAAAATCTCTTGAAAGGACCTTCTCTGTTTAAATATTGATTCGCATGAATGTGCATTACTGGAATAGATGCTTAATGTTTGTGCAGGCAAATCGTGAGGTCTGACTCACTGCCTTGGAGTGCTGACTTCCAATTCTGGGACCCCGCCCAAGCATCCCGAGAAATGTAGCGAGTGTGGCTTGATGTGCATTTGGACTGGAGTGTTCTGAATCCGTGACACTCAGACCAGTGCTGTCACCCTGACGAGTGTGCTGAGATCTGGTAGGGGGTGAGAGAAGATATTGATAAGAAAATGGAATATTGAAGACAGTCTTTTTTGGCTACTGTGTAAGCACCTGGAACTGTCAGGACATTTTGTCAGTATCCATTTTCTTCATTTTCTTTGGTTTCTGATCTGTTTATCCAGGTTTTCCTCAGTAGTACGTATTATTTACCCCAACCCAGAATGAGCACGGTGTGAAGTGGGCAACCAGGAGGGAAAACACAGTGGCCTCCTCCTGTCTGTTGATTTTGTCACTATGACGTGGCAGCTAACGTCCCTGGATCTTGGGCTGGCTTTTGAGGCATTCCAAGCATGAACTTCTTCATTGACTTGTGTGATGTGCTGTGGGTATTCGTGATAAAGAGGTGGTGATGTTTAGTTTTTTAAAAACATTTCAGGGTAGTAGAGATCGCAGCCTGTCACTCTGCCCACACGTCTGCCGCCAAGACCCAGGGTGGGCACGTGTACATGTGGGGCCAGTGCCGCGGCCAGTCGGTGATCCTCCCGCACCTCACCCACTTCTCCTGCACCGACGATGTGTTTGCCTGCTTTGCCACGCCTGCCGTCACCTGGCGCCTTCTGTCTGTAGGTAAGAAAGCTCAGGGTTGCTTCCGCCAGGAAGCATGCTCCTATCAGAGGGCTGGTTTTCCTGCATGTTTGCTGGTTCTGGGCTCTTTCAGGTTATACAATGTTTTGTTCTCCATTAGCTTTGCTACTTCACCCGAATTGGATCTGCATAATCAAATTTATTCTTGTGTTATGTAATACTCCCATAGACTCAATAATTTCTAACCTTCAGTGCTTTCATTTTCATTGAGATCAAGTTCACATCACATGAAATAAATTGTGTTAAAGTGTAAAGTTCAGTGGCATTTTGTATATTTACAGGATTGTGCAGCCATATTCATATCAGGTTCTAAAATGTTTTCATCGCCTCAAAAGAAAACCCTGTGTTCATAAAGCAGTCACAGCCCAGTCTCCCCTCCCCGCAGCCCCTAGCAGCGCCCAGTCTGCCTGTTGTTCCTCTGTACTTCCTGGTTCAGGATGTTCACGCAAGTGGAATCATGTAATACGAGACTTTTCATGTCTGGCTTCTTTTACTTCATGTTTTGAAGCCCATCCGTGTTGTTTACCAGTATCTCATTCTCTTCACGACTGAATATTCCATATGTGTATGTGTCATATTTTGTTCATCCACTTATCTGTTCGTGGACATTCGAATCATTTCTACCTTTTGACTGTCGTGAATAGTGCTATTGGAAAAATTTCATGTATAATAAGTATTTGTTCGAGTAACCTATTGTTAAGTGCTTTTATTATACTAAGTTTATTACACATTTTAGTATAATAATCAAAAGTGAACTTCAAAAAAAGTGAAGAACTTGTGTTTTGATTTTTTTTTTAAGAGAGATTTTTGCTTGGGGGTACGTGTGCTTGCCAGAGAGATGGAGAGAAACAGAGACAGAAAGCAAGAAATTACCCCCCACCCCCACCCCCACCCGCCAGGCTGCAATCCCTTCTCCTTCATTCTCCTCTCAGGATCTTGGGCATGCACGCATACACACCTGGTGTGAGTTTTAAACTGGTTGGTCTGGGACTCAAACCGCGGTCAACTATGTGGGAGTCCAGTGACATAACCATTCTGCCAAATGCTGGTCCCAAGAACTTGTGGTTTTCAAGGATGCATTAATCCCCCCCACACCTTCTTTCTGTTTTTATCTTTTAACCATTTCAAATTCTTGTATATTAGAAGGGATCTAAACTGAGATATTATTAACATAAAGGGCAATGGAATTTGGGGTGACCTTTGGTTATACAATCTATACATTTTTTTTTATTTTCTTTTTTTTTTTTTTGGAGGGTTTTTGCTATAGGGTACGTGCCTTGCCAGACAGACAGAGAGAGACATAGAGACAGAAAGCGAGAAATCACCCCCGGCGGGGGGTGGTCACACCGGCTTCTCCTCCCAGGATCTTGGGCACGCACACACACTCGCCCGGCGTGAGTTTTAAGCCACCGGGTCTGGGACGCAAACCGTGGTCAACTACGTTGGAGTCCAGCGACTTAGCCATTACACTAACTGCTGGTTCCCAACTATCTATACATTTTCTAAATAGCATCTTTAAGAGCTCATTGGTTGAAAATGTTCAAATGTATTAAAACTGAGTATCGATTAACAGGTGGTTTTAATTTCTCTGTCTTCGTTTCTTAACTTGCCAGAGGGCACCTGGGCTTACCAGAGAGAGAGAGAGAGAGAGAGAGAAGAGAGAGAGAGAGAGAAGTGAAGTGAGAAAGTACCCCCCCTGCCCCACCGCCCCACGGGGGAAAGTCATGCTGCAATTCCTACTCCTCTGTCTCTCCCTCTTTCAGGATTCTGGGCACACACTCACATGTCCCCAATGTGTCGTTCAAACCACTAGGTCCAGGACTCAAACTGTGCAGTCAGCCATGTGGGATCCAGCCATCTTAACTACCATGTCACCAGCTTACCTGTCCCTTTTTCTTTTATTTATTGTTAATGTATGCCTTTTTGCCAATGTATTTCTTTTTTTAATTAATATTTTTTAAAGAATTATTTTATTTAACTTTATTTATTTATTTATTTATTTATTTATTTATTTATTTATTTATTTATTTTAATATGACCAGACTGAAGTAGAATGAGAGAGAGAGAAGAAAGTGAGGAAGCAAGCCACCAGGTCCAGGACTCAAACTGTGGTTGACTATGTGGGAGTCCAGTGCCTTTAACCACCATGCCACCTGCCGGCCCCACCAATGACTTTCTTCTAAGTTGTTCTTTTGCTTATAAATAGAAGGAGTAAGTGAATTATGATGACCTGTGTTTGAAAATTAAAGTAGAATGAGAGAGAGAGAAGAAAGTGAGGAAGCAAGCCACCAGGTCCAGGACTCAAACTGTGGTTGACTATGTGGGAGTCCAGTGCCTTTAACCACCATGCCACCTGCCGGCCCCACCAATGACTTTCTTCTAAGTTGTTCTTTTGCTTATAAATAGAAGGAGTAAGTGAATTATGATGACCTGTGTTTGAAAATTAATGTAGCTCTTGATGACCAAGGTGTTTGGGTAGCTAAGCAATGGATCTGGAAGGTTAGTTTTCTAATCCATGTCATGCTCAGACACGTGGGGTCAGACAACTGCAGCTATCCGTCATCTGGTGACCAGTGCGATTATGCAGGCAAGAGTATGTTCAGGAAGACTTAAGCTGCTGCTCCCCTGAAAGTGAGACAAACTGAACATTTATTTTAAATTCATTTTACTAGGCTTGTTAGTTGTATTACAATTTTGTTTTGCAGTGAATATTGTGATGAGAAAAAAATTAGTGGGCCAGTAGGTGGCATGGTGTTTGAGGCGCTGGATTCCCACGTGGTTGACCACGTTTCAAGTCCCAGCCCCAGAAGCTTGAAAATCACAACAAATAAATAGATAAGTAAATATAGTAAAATGTTTAAAAAGAAAATAGAAAGGAAAAAATTAGTTTACTGAGTGGGTGATTTAGCCACAGTCACACATATGCATATCATGCACAGCCAAAGCACTTTTTTTCTTTGGAGAGGTTTTCGCTATAGGGTGTGTGCGCTCGCCAGAAAGACAAAGAGAGACAGAAAGCGAGAAATCACCCTCCAGGGGGGATGGCCACGCCACAGTCCCTTCTCCTCCATTCTCCTCTTGGGATCTTGGGCACGCACGCACACGCGCCCGGCGTGAGTTTAAGCCACTGGGTCCTGGACTCGAACCGTGGTCAACTATGTGGGAGTTCAATGACATAGCAATTACATGAACTGCTGGTTCCCAGCCAAAGCACTTCTGTCTGCATCTTCAGATCTCTATATGTTCCTTACCCTATGCCTATTTATAAAGAGCCTCTCCAGGTTCTTGTATCTTAAAATGGCATGGATGACCTTTTCAGAATAAATGTCCTAACATTTCTAGTGTTATGTTTGGAAAAAATATGGTCACTGAATATCTCTTCTAAGTAACTTCCTTCCCTTCAACTACAAAATGTCAGAAGTGTTTTTTTCTCCTGGTATGTGAACTCAGCTAGGTGTTAGCAACAAAGTCAGATGCGAATTCACGCCTCTAAGGACTATTTCTTCCCTGAGAGGAGGTATTACACTTGTCACCAGAAACAGAAGGGAAAGGGTCGTTACAGCCCCGTGACCAGAGGCAGAAATGGAGGCACTGACAAGAGGCTCTGTTTGGATGGGTGTGCAGCACTCTAGACCTCCGGCTCTACCTATCTTAGTCTTTTGACTTCTTTTAATTCACCAGTGGTCCAGATTGCAGGGTTGGGGAAAGTGTCACTTACTTATTTATTTATTGAATTTTTATGTTTTTGCCACAGGTTGTATGTGCTTACTAGAGAGAGACAGAGAGGAAAGTGAGAAATCTCCCTCAAGGGGATGGCCATGCTCCTTTTTGCTTTCAGGATTTTGGGCATGTATGCATGTGCCCCCGGTGTGATTTTCAAGCCACTGGGTCCGGGGCTCGAACTGTGGTCTGCCACGTGTGAGTCTAGCATCCCAACCACTAAGCCACCTACTGGCCCCAAAAGCATCACTTTTGAGAGATTTTCCACCCTTTCTCCATAGCCAGGAGTTCTGTATGTGTGGACTTCAGGGAGGGCTTTAGGTGAAGGTCACAGGGATTAGGCAAATGATATTTCCTTGGAAAAGTATGATAATAAAGCTGCAGATAAGCTCATTTATTAAGTTTCAGCCTAAGACTTTTCCCGTTGTCCCTGCTCTAAAAGTTGCCCTGCTAACACCAGGCTGCTGGTGGACACAGGTTCTTCCCTCGCTTTGAAGAGCTGAGCTGTATTTATTTATTCTTAAGAGATTTTTGCTATAGGGCGCATGCACTCGCCAGACAGACAGAGACATAGAGACAGAAAGCGAGAAATCACCCCCCAGGGGGGATGGTCACGCTGCAATCCCTTCTCCTCCATTCTCCTCTTGGGATCTTGGGCACATACGCACACGCGCCCGGTGTGAGTTTTAAGCCACCGGGTCTGGGATGCGAACCACGGTCGACTACATGGGAGTCCAGCGACATAGCCATTACGCTAACTGCTGGTTCCCTAGCTGTGTTTATTTTTTTTTTAAGTAAGTCTCTTCCAGACAGAGAGAGAGAGAAAGAGAAAGAGAGAGAGAGAGAGAGAGAGATACTCTTGACAGGGTCTCACTAAGCTGTGATCCTCCAGGCATCCTCCCAGCCAGAGTCATAGACACATGGAGGCGCGTCCGGCATGCTCAGGTCAATGAGGGCCAATCTGGCCCACCCATATGGTTCCAGCATCTTGCAGTGGCAACCTGCTGCCTGTGCTTCTGCTGTTAGGCAAGAGCTGAGCTTTTTGATTAAGTCATCATTCTTGGCTTGTGGCCTGTTGAAGCCGGTCTCCTATGTCCATAGCAGCCTGGTTCGGTGCCCAGGAAGGATCTCTGGAATTTATTTATTTCCTCTTTAGCTGTCTTCCTCTTTTTTTCCTTCCTTCATCCATAGACAGCACAAGAAAGTGTCACATAAATCCGCCCAAGTGCCTTTACTTTTCTTCATAATCACAGTTCTACGTATGTGTAATCATTACCACAGTTCTTGTTATCAAGCAGTGTGATCACATGCTCTTATAAAACTGTTCCCTTTGTGCAGTACGCTGTTACTAAGTAAATTTGCTTTGCCTTCACATACCGTGTAAGGATTGTTGTTTGTACATTGGTTTTCAGGATTAAGAGGGATGCTTAGATTCCAGATACGTGGGAAAAAAGAGTTTCTTTAAGGACGTGATTACTTAGCGTTAATTTTATTTCTTGGGGTTCCTTGAATTGAATATGCCAGCCCCTTGAATGGAAGTACCCCCAAGCAGAGCAAAGATGTGCTTAGTCAAGGAATACTGGTAAGTTCCTAGCTCTCAAAGAGAACCACTCAAGTTTGAGGGAATGGTTTTATCATCATAGACTAACCATAACTTTTTTCTTTTTCTTTCTTTAAAATAGTTTTATTTATTTTTTTATTTTGAAAGGGAGAGTGAGAGGCACACTTCTAACAGGATGTTCACATCATGATCCACCCCCAGTCTCAGCTGGCTCAGATCACAGGCACACCCATCATGCTCAGGAAGATAGCAAGATGAAAACTCCAAACCGTTTCCATGTGGGTCCAGTTGTGTTACCACTGTGCTGCCACCCAGCCCTACTTATTTATTTATTTCGAGATATGCATCTTTTTGGGGGGAGAGAGGTTTTTGCTATAGGGGGCATGTGCTCACCAGAAAGACAGAGACAGAAAGCAAGAAATCACCCCCTGGGGGGATGGCCACGCAGCAATCCCTTCTCCTCCATTCTCCTCATGGGATTTTGGGCCCACATGCACACGCGCCTGGCATGAGTTTAAGCCACTGGGTCCAGGACTCGAAACCCGGTCGACTACATGGGAGTCCAGTGACATAGCCATTACACTAACTACTGGTCTCTCGAGATCCACATTTTTAACATCTAGTTAAGCATGTAAGATTGATATTTGGCCTTTCTAAATACTTGATTTTTGGGGGTCGTTTATACATGCAGGATACTTATTAGGTGAAATTGATTTGTCAAGTAATGCATGAACTCTTGAAAAAATAAAAGAGAGTTACCCACCATGCTAATAATCTTTCTAAAGTTTTTCAGTCCTTTAATCTGAATCCTGAGATTTCTGTATTAATAATGTGTTTGTTGCCTTTAGAGCATGAAGACTTCTTAACAGTTGCAGAGTCACTGAAGAAAGAATTTGATAGTCCAGAAACTGCTGATCTGAAGTTTCGAATTGATGGGAAATATATTCATGTTCATAAAGCTGTTTTGAAAATCAGGTATTTTTGTATGAGCTTAGAGACCTCAATAGCCCCACATTTTTTTTAGTGTTTTTTTTTTTTGCCATTGGGGGTATGCGCTTGCTGTAGAGGGAAAGTGAGAAATCACGCCCCAGGGGAATGGCCACATCACAGTCCTTTCTCTTGCATTCTCCCTTTGGGATTTTGGGCATGTATGCCCATGCACCCAGCACGATTTTCTAGGTTCTGGTTCCAGGATGCAAATTGTGGTCAGCTATGTGGGAGTGCAGCACCTCAACCAGTGCGCCACCTGCTGGCCCCACCCGCCTTTCTTTTTGCCATTTCTATTCCTTTGTTATGCCACTAAGTGGATACTTATAAGATACAGCCTTGGCAGTATAAACGAATGTCCCCACTGAATATTTTCGTAGATAGTATCAGTCCATTTATTATCAAAGGGTTTGGATGTATACTTATGTGCCTTGTAGAAAATGTATGATGTAGAAGCATGAGAGACTTCAAGAAGTTCATGGAAAAAAATAATTAAAATGAATTAATTTTGACACAGAAATTTTTGAAATCCATGCATAGGCTTTTTTTTTTTTTTTTTTTTGAGAGGCTTTTGCTATAGGGCGCATGCACTCTCCAGGAAGACAGAGAGAGATGGAGAGATAGAAAGCGAGAAATCCCCCCCCCCAGGGGGGATGGCCACGCTGCAATCCCTTCTCCTCCATTCTCCTCTCGGGATCTTGGGCACACACGCACCCAGCAGCACACACACAATTCCTGGGTCCAGGACTCAAACCGCGGTTGGCTACATGGGAGTTTAGTGACATAGCCGCTACACTAACTGCTGGTCCCTAGTTTTATTTTTCCATAATTATTGCCCATTAGTTTTTAACACCTCATATTGTATTTGTTATGTTTAAATTAAGGATCTTGGGCCAGCCTGTGGCCTAGGTTAAGGCACCCAGATTCTGCATAGCCAACTGCAGTTTGAACCCTGGTTCTGGAGGCTTGAAAAATATGCCAAGCGTGTGTATATGTATGCCCAAAGTCCCAACAGAATGGAGAAATGGAGAGAAGGGATTGTGGTGTCACGACACTTCTCTGAGGGGGGGGTGGGGGCAGTGGTTGCTTTCTCTCGCTCTCTTTCTGTTTCTCTGTCTGTCTGTCTCTGGTGAGTGCACATACCTTTGGGGGGAAAATTGTGAGTCCTTATTTTAATTGGAAAGTATGTTTATGTGGTTTTAAAAAAAGTCATAAGTGAAAAATGTGTATGTTTTCTTTTTTTTCCTAATTAAAGTTTCATTTTCCTAAAGCAGAAAATTCTCATAGTCAGGAATACTGGGTTTCTGGCCATAAGGATCATCCTATTTCTGATTAAAGAAAAGTTCTTTAGATATAATTAATGGTAGGAGTTCCTTGTATAAGTGCAAGGGAACTATGCATTTAGTAATAACTATTTGGATTGTTGCTCACTGAATTTGACATTTCAGAGAAAGAAGCATGTAAATATTAGATCTTCAAACTGACTATTTACAGGTCATTTTAGAAATTTAGTTAGAAACCTATTTGCTGGTCTAACCCAGGTGGTGCAGTCCATAGCATACTGGATTGCAGTGCTGGAAGCCACATGCCGACCATGTGTTTGGATTCTTGAGTGGCTTGAAAACAGAGTGAGCACCAAGATCCTGAGGAGCTGGAGGACTAGGGGAAGCGAACTGTGGCAAGATCCTATTGAGTGTTTGTCTGTCTTTCTCTCTCTCACATACACATGTGTACTTTCTAGCATTAAAACGTGCATATATAGGGACCAGCAGTTGGCGTAATGGCTATGTCGCTGGGCTCCCGTGTATTCGACTGTGGTTCAGGTCCTGGACCTGGTGGCTTAAACTCATGCCGGACACGTGTGCGTGCATGCCCAAGATCCCGAGAGGAAAATGGAGGAGAAGGGATTGTGGCATGGCTATACCCCTGTGGGGTGATTTCTTGCTTTCTGTCTTCTGTCTCTCTGGCGAACGCATACATCCTATAGCAAAAACCTCTCAAAAAAAATTATGCATATACACAAAACCCATTGCAAAATAATGCATTTTTTTTTGGAGAGATGTTTGCTATGGGGCGTGTGGGCTCTCCAGAAAGAGAGGGACATAGAGACAGAAGGCGAGAAATCACCCCCAAGGGGGAATGGCCACACCACAATCCCTTCTCCTCCATTCTCCTCTTGGGAGATGAGACGCACATGCACCCGGCATGAGTTTAAGCTACTGGGTCTGGGACTCAAACCATGCCTGACTGCATGGGAGTCCAGTGACGTAGCCATTACACTAACTGCTGGTCCTGCAAAATAATACATTTTTAAAGGAACCCAAAAGCCTTATGTCATGACATAAAGGAGTAAATATCTAAACCACAGTATTAGTTGAAAAACTGAACTAGAAATGTTTCTCCGTAAACATGTGGTCAGCCTGTTTGTTAATTTCATATAGTTTTCTGGCCTATTATATTCATTATTCCTTGGTTAGACAGCTATTTTTTTTAAAACTTCTCAGATGGAGAGTTGTTTTTTCAGTGTTCTGAATGGATTGTGGAAATATTTTATGTCTCTTTTTATCTTACCTCTCTCTAAAAGGATTTGAATAGATGGTTTGTAAAAAATATACAAATATAAAAATACAGCCCAGTCTCTGTAGCTTGGTCAGTAACATACTGGACAATAGACCTGGAAACCACATGCTGTCTGCAGGTCAAGTCCCCAGCTCCGTCGGCGTGGGAATACACTGGGCACACGCCCAGGATCCTGGCTGGCTAGGGTACTCAGGAAGGGGATCACGGCATGATCAAGCCCTGTAGAGGGTGATTCTTGCTCCCTTTTCTGTGTGTGCATGATCTCCATCATGAATAATAAGGAGAAAAACTTAAGCTGCGTTATGCTTTAAGAAAATCCAGTATTTAGAAATAAGTTTCTCATGCAGATGTATTTGTAACTATAATTATAATACAAAAAAGATTTGCTTAGGTATTGAAATATTTGACTTACTGTCACGAATGTATGAGTGTTTTACAAATAAGTTTCGAATAGGCTTGGGAAGAGAAGAAGAGGAGTAGGTAAAACAAGTGAACAAAGTAAGGGTAGGGGCTATTTTGCCTTTTTTTTTTTTTTTAATGTTTTTGTTATAATGCACATGCACATGCCAGCGAAGGACAGAGAGAAGGTGGGAAATCACACCTCGGGGAGATTGTCATGCTTCAGTCCTTCTCTCAGGAGTTTGGGCACACACACACACACATGTGCCTGGTGTGGTTTTCAAGCTGCTGGGTCCAGATCTCAAACCGTGTTTGGCCATGTGGGAGTCTAGCACCTTAACCACCACACCTACTGGCACCAGGTAGGGACTGTTTTGATGATGAGTCAGAAAAGAAGAAAAATTGTCATATCAGATAATGGAACAATAATCAGCCTAACGTAATCCAGTTAACATTTAAAACAATTTTAAGCATATACTGATTATATAAAACAAAATACTGAATATGTAAATTATATTAATACATAGTTAAATGTTCCGCATTCTCATTTCTGAATTTCTTTAATTTCACTGTTTAAAATATGTTTCTGTACATCTTTAAAAAAAATAAAAACACAAGCTATCAAAATACCTTGATCAGAATGAGAACTATCAGTTGGAAGCAGTGGTACTATGGAAGTGTTAGGTAGTTTCTGCTCTTTGTATCATTTTTAATACATGATAGGCAATAGCAAAAATGGAAGTGAGTGTATGTGAAAGGTGTACATAAAAGCCTGCAGAACATTTTTAGGGTGCTAAAGATTAATGATACCCTGATGTGTGTGGGCCTAGATATACAATGGGGCTTCAAAAAACTTACGGGAAAATGAATTAATGTACCAGTTTATTTTAGTGCAAAAAGAAGTGAAATCCATGCATAATTTTTTAAAATAAGTATCTTCCATGAATTTTTTGAAGGCCCCACATAGTGGTTAAGGATACTGAGATGATATTGATGTGTATACACATACAATTTTTTTTTTAAAAGAGGTCTTTTTTTTTTTTTTTTTTAGCCTTAGGGCTTGTGCACTCAGCAGAGACAGACAGACACAGTGAGATGGAAAGTGAGGTGAGAAATCACCCCCAACTGGGGGATGGCCACATGGGCAGTCCTTTCTCTTCCATTCTCCTCTCAGGATCTTGGGCTCGCACATATACGCGCCCAGCGTGATTTCCAAGCCACTGGGCCCAGGGCTTGAACCGTGGTTGGCCATGTGGGAATCCAGCAATGTAATTGCTACGCCATGTGCTGGCCCTGATACTGCAATTATTTGTTTATCTGATTTCATCAACTGGATTAGCCAAGTTTTGCTTTTCTGTTGCAGGTGTGAACACTTTCGATCCATGTTCCAGTCTTATTGGAATGAAGACATGAAGGAGGTGATAGAGATAGACCAGTTTTCTTACCCAGTGTATCGTGCCTTTCTCCAGTATCTCTACACCGACACGGTTGACCTGCCACCCGAGGATGCTATAGGTACCTCAGCTGCCCTGGGACTGGCCCAGCCGTGTGTTCGGGAGACAGCTCCTCACCTTCTTAGAGGATCAAAATGTAAAATGGGTCACATTTATTAAATTTTACATGGTTTTTAAAAAAGATTTGAAGTGAATGTCTTTAAAAATAGTGCTGCGTAGGGAACCAGAAATTAGCATAATGGCTATGTTGCTGGACTCCGACGTAGTCGACCGCGGTTTGCGTCCTGGACCCGGTGGCTTAAAATTCACGCCGGGCGCGTGTGCGTGCGTGCCCAAGATCCCGAGAGGAGAATGGAGGAGAAGGGATTGCGGCGTGGCCATCCCCCCTGGGGGGTGATTTCTCGCTTTCTGTCTCTATGTCTCTGTCTGTCTGGCGAGCGCACGTGCCCTATAGTGAAAACCTCTCCAAAAAAAAAAAAATAGTGCTGCGTTGTTACCATGTTTAATAATTATGAACATAGTTCATTTATGACTGGATTTAACTTTTTACTATTTAAATATAAATTGTATTTGACCTTATCAAATATTTATAATGTAAAATGATTTAGTATTCTGGAAACAAAAATGAGGATGGAAATTCTGGGGCTCTTTTCTTTGTACTATAAAATAAATTGTATAAAGCGAATATAGGAAAGGTTTGTTTTTGGAGGAGGGGGGGAGAACTTGCAGAAGAAATAGCAAGAGAATTTATTCTAATTCAGAATATCATTTGCTAAGAAACTTCTGCTGACCTATCTACATAACTCTGTTAGGCAAAAATGAGATACACACGTTTATAAATTATGGGAAATTATTGTACAATTGATTAAGCCTCCTGTGCTTTTTACTTTTAGGTCTTTTGGATTTGGCGACGTCTTACTGTGAAAACCGACTGAAAAAGCTTTGTCAGCACATTATCAAGCGAGGAATTACTGTGGAGAATGCCTTTTCGTTATTTTCTGCGGCAGTCAGATACGATGCGGAGGTAACATAAACAACAGGCCGAAACCAAAACCACGCTCACCTGGCTATGCGTACCTTTCCCCCCCTTCTCTCACGTGACACGAGGAACATGATGAATAACTTCACTTCTCTTTAGAGAATCAGTAAACTGCCCAATCCTTTAAAATGGAAATCTGGCCTTGTTTCTTTATTCTCTGATCATTGCTTCAAACATGGTCATTCCTCTGCCTCCATTTTTAAATTCAGATAAGAACCTGACAGAGGCCCCAGAAAGCACATCTAAGGGGACTAACTTGCAGAAGCTTCTAGTTTTGAGTCTTTACCCATGCCAGCGTGTACGATTTTTTTCCAAGACCTACTTTGCTGTCTCCCCCACTCCCCTCTGTCATATGCCAAGGTGCTGTATGACTCTTATCTATGTGCGCTCTGAAATGCTGTCATTGTCTCGTTATAACTCATAATTGTCCATGTTAAAAACTTGCTGTGGACCCCTTTTCGTTTATTTTTGCAGGTTTGAATTCTTAATCTAGAATTCATAGATCTCTAGAGATTATGAATTACTGGGCTTTCGGGAGTCTGAAATTTTGTATTTATGTGCCTTTTCTTGAAGTTAAGAACTAAAGCATCAGACTGTAAGCTGCTCCTGAGCAGGAACTGTGTCTTACTCACCCCTCCTCCCTTCCATGCTGGCATATGGTAGATCGTTGAACTGAATGACGGAAGTCCTACCTAAAGGCTGCGTTAAGATAAGTAGTGAGCTGAGGACCAGCAGATGGCATAATGGTTATGTCGCTGGTCTCCCATGTAGTTGACCACAGTTCAAGTACTGGAGCCAGTGGCTTAAAACTCATACTGGGTGCATGTGCGTGCATGTCTGAAATCCCAAGAAGAGAATGGAGAAGGGATTGTGTCATGGCCATCTCCCCAGGGAGTGATTTCTTGCTTTCCGTCTCTGTCTCTCTGGCGAGTACACACACGTTATATCAAAAATCTCTTTGGAAAAAAAAAACAAAAAACGATAAGTAGTGAGCTAAAGGCTGGTATGGTGGCTTTATAAATTCAGAGACCAAATGTAGCACCAGCCTTGGAGGGTCCAGATATCTAGCTAAGGGTTCAGTAACATAATTAGCTGGTTCTTACAGGCATTTTAACATCCTTTGACAAGGCGGATACTTGGTATCAGGAAGCGTACCAAACACCTGCAAGGGCCTGCAGCCTTTGAGGTGCAGCAGAGGACAAGCTCCCTATTTATCACACTTAAGGATTGAACTTGACAATTATGTCTTGTATTTTCAAAGTGTATCCTATTTTTGTTTGAGGTTTTATGCTTGTAAATATTTGATAAGGTCAAATACAGCTGACTTTGCAGACTGGCAACAGATGGAATGGTGAGCAAAGTGTATTATTTCTAATAGAAGGTGGAGGGATGGTTTTTCCTACTCTTCCTGTGACAGTATGAGCCTCCATTACAAATGCTTTTTTTTAGAGTTCATTTCCTCCCAATGATAATACTTTAGATCGGGTTGATGCCCTTTCCCTCTGCTTGGAGGTTGATTTCAGAATCTTCTCTGCCTCTCTACACTCTGACCTGTTAACGAGTTCCAGATTTGGAATTAAGATCTTGCTGACCGGCCCCAGGCACACAGAGCAACTTGAGCAGAGGAGGACATCTTGGTTCCAGTTGCTGGAAGTTTCTTTTTCACTTTCAGCTAAAATCTTCCCCAGAAAGCTGACAGAAAAAGCCTATGCCACTTCTGCATATGCCAGTCAATCACTCCCTTTTCTATTGGTAGTTTTCATTTTTCTCATGTTACGTATAAACACATTTAAAACTCCTACAAAGAGTACAAGCATACACGATTCCCTAGAAGCTGTCACAGGGTGGGAAGAGTTAGCACTCCAAGATATGTGTTAAATTAAATGGATGAATATATTTAAAACACCTTGTCATGAGAGTGTGCTTTAATTACTTGACTGGCAAGTGGTGTGGTGGTTAAGGTACTGAACTCCCACATGGGCTACCACGGTTTGAGTCTCGGGCCTGGTGGCTTGTTTTCTCACTTTCTTTCTCTCTTTCTATTCTATGATAACAATAATAATACAGTTAAGTAAAGAAAATACTTAGCTAACCAGACTCAAAATCCCACATATGCCTTCAGTGTAGAAAAATTAGAGACTAGAAAGAAGACAAAAGGAAAAAGAAAAAGACAAAAAGAAAAGGCTAAAAGGTAGACACTACCTGTGTGTCATGGTTCTTCTCTGTAACAGTCACTGCAGTGTCTCCAGGCCCCCTCTTGGCAAGCTATTTTGAAGCGGTCATACACACCTAAAAAACAAAAATGCAAAGACTCAGTAGTTACGAGGATTTTAAAAAGCAGACTGATTGTTGGGCAGCTCTTGCATTATAAATGTCTTGTCAACCTTTCTGCAAGCTGTATAAAGAAGAGCTTGGAGGAGGAACACTTAAATATTCCTCCAGTATAGACCTGAATAAATATTGCCATTAAGGGGAAAAAGTGTGGATAAAATGTTGTCTCAAGGTAGTTCAGTGTCACATTTGTAAACATTTCAGAATGCCTCTATACTGATACTTTTCAGGATACATATATATATATTTTTTTCTATGTATATTTGAATATTAAGACAAATGCTTGGGAAATATTGCTGAGCAACTTCTATCTTGGGATTTTGCTTTTGGTGGGAAATAGAAAATAGGAGCCCAGGAATCTACTTCTAAAGTGGATTTGGGACATGGATATTGGAAAGCTTTTCACTAAAATTGCATGGTCTGCATTTTGTTGTCTTAAAGGGCAACCTTGAAAGTTCCCCATGATCAGAAAGCTGTGAGATACTCTTTTGTATTGGATCCTCAGAAAAGTTATGATGCATTTTTGTATAGAAAAGCATAGAAAAACTACATCATGACTTTTCCGATGACCCAGTATAATAAGAGGAAGGCCATCTTTATTTATTCGCATTTGATAGGACATTTAAATACAATCTAAAAACAAACACCCAAACTATTTTGATCTGGCATATTTTATACTTAACAAAGTGAATTACAGACTGTGGTTTAGAGGTTTAGTTGTGTAATTATTTTAACAGCAGATTTGGATAGTTAAGGGTGGTTTGTGATCTTTTACTGTCCAGAGTGCACCTCAGGGCTGGCTTGTGACACAAAGGCAACCTGTCTCACCCTGGCCAAGTGATCTTCCAAAAAAGTGTTGTCATTTCAGTCCAGCAGGTGGTGTGGTGGTTAAGGTGCTGGGCTCCCACATGGCAGACTGTGGTTCAAGTCCCAGACCTAGAGGCTTGAAGATCATGCCAGATACTTGTGCATGCATGCTCAAAATCCTCAGAGGAGAATAGAGAAGGGATTGTGGTGTGGCCAGCCACCCTGGGGCGTGATTTCTCTTTTCCTTCTCCCTGGAAAGCACAAGCACTGTATGGCAAAAACATTTAAAAAATTAGCATTCAACAATTTAACTTCAGAATTTTAAGACCACCTAAGAAATCTATTAGAGGCTATATTACCTTTTTTTTTTCCATGCCAGCACATGAGTGCATATGAGAGAGGGAAA